GGTGAGGATAAAATGGGTGAGAGGGAAGCGTGAGCTCCTTGGGGGGAAAGGTGGGATGTAAATGTAATAAATAAATAAGAGGCGTTATGAAAGTTCAAGGACAAAGCATGGCCTAGGGAGAGTTGCAAGGCCCATATTTAGGCCTCAGGCCTGAGGTTCCTTACCTCTATCCTAGACAATATTAAAAAAAACCCTCAAGATGTATACAGCCTCTGACAAACATGGGCTTGCCATCTTGGGCCCTCATTGAGGAAACCACCTCATTCCCTTGCTCTGCTGTTCTCCATGCTTTCCATCCCCTTAAGAAAGGGAGCCAGTGACCAACCTGGAGAAGAGGCCTGGTAGATGATTGTGTTTCCGTCTCTTTCTGGGACAACGGTGTGACACACAGCCAGGAGAGTGAGGAATTCCCGGATGTGAGTAGCTGTGGGCTGAAAGGGAAGGTCCACACAAGAGTCATGCCACAAGGAATCCTGAGGGAGTTTCTAAGTCTCTTGCTGTATTTATTAGAAGAGGAAAACAAGCACTTGGGTGGTCAATGGCGCTCTCCTCGGTTACTTTGTGGTTTCTGTCCATTATCTCCTTCGATGGTTAATAGCTGCGATAACTGTTTCACCACCTACAGGATCAGAGGCCCAATCCCTCAGGATACCAACTGCTTGGCCACAAAAGCAGAAGAGGGCCTTTCCAGAGGCCTCTGGTTGTCCGCTGTGGGAAACAGGACACTGGGCCCTTGGTCTGATCCTTGCATTAGTCCGTCAAATACGGAATAATTACACTAGTTAGATCAGTGTTTCTCAAACTTGGATCCCCGGCCATTGTTGGACTACAACTCCCATCAACCCTAGCTAGGAGGACCAGTGGTCAAGGATGATGGGAGTTGTAGTCCAACAACAGCCGGGGACCCGAGTTTGAGAAACACCGAGTTAGATTATTAGACAGACCGTCAGTCTGATCCAGCAGAGCTCTCCCTGTGTTAACCTCATCAAATACAAGACAATTAAACCAGATATTAGCTAGGCCTTTGGTCTGATCCAAGAGGGTTCTTCTTATGTTAGCCCCATCAAATACAAATCAGATTATTGGAGCTCAACCACAAAAGGCAGGCTTTCCCAACCCGGACCCCTCCAGATGCTTTGAACCAACTCCCATCAGCCCCAGCCAGGTAGTCCAACACATCTGGAGAGCACCAGCTGGGGAAGGCTGCACTAAGGTAGAAAGAACAGTCTTCCCAGATCAGGCCAATAGTCCCCTCTTGTTTCTGGGTGAGTTGTTGCAGGCCTTTATTGCTCACACAGCAAATACATCACCTACATGCCTGCAACTCAAGCTTTGTCGGCAGACAGCAAGCTATCTTAACTTCCCCAGTGCAGCCGGCCTTAAGAGGGGCATCCTATGATTTCCTTGTATTGAAATCAATTATTCAGTCCGCTTTTGTGTTTCCATGTTCACAGCTTACAATAGGTTCCACCCACCCAGTTCTAAAGCAACAATGAGGGCCTTCTTATCACGTCAGCCCTTCCACAGAGCCCTTGTCTCTCCTTTGACATGTAGTGTCAGCAGCGGTGCTGGATTTATTCCTCCGCCTGCTGCCAAACCAAAATGTCAAACCGATTACTACAGCAAATGCCCTGCTGTGTATGGGTGGTGAGTGGATAACAGTATTTCCCACTTTCCAATTCGAGCTGGGAAAGGGGGACTTTTGTGTGCATCTATCAGACATTTAAAAAAAAAACTGAATTGCAAAGATAATATTGAAAATACTGCAATATTTATTTGCTGGTCAGTATCAAGTCTAAATATATTCTCAGGGCTCAGAAAGGAAGTGTAAACGTGAGCCTTAACCCCAAACTATCATGCAGGGTTTTTTGTTTTTTTGAAAATGAATGAATGTCTGAGTGTGTTTTCCTATTTGTTTATAAAAATATTTATATATTGCTATTCATAAAAATATCAAATTGGTTTACAACAATTATACAGAAAACCATACAATAAAAACATGACATTTTAAAATTGGAAATTAGCTAGCTATTTTGGAAAGATGTATTCTTAATTGCTTACATAAACCCGATGAAATGGAAGAGTTTTCAACAGGTGTGTAAAACTTGCAATGGCAGGTGCCTGCTGCTGACGCCCCTTTCTGAATCACAACCAATTCTTGAGAGCCTTTTGAATCAGGGATGGGTGACTCTGTCAATTTTGGTTTCTTACAGCTGCAGCTAAGACACCCACGGCCACCCTGCATTCCCAAGTGGTACCTACAGAGCAGCAGAGCTTCTTAAGTGACTCTTCCACCCAAAGACAAAGGACAAGAGCACGACAGAACTATCAGTGGAACAATACTATAGAACTGGGCTTACGTGATCACTCTCAATATTTTGCAGCAGCCTCGGGTCATCAAATTCGCAAGATTCGCTGGTGGAAGGAGGAAGCTGACTAGAAGTCGAATAAAAGGAATGAATCATTACCTCTTCAAAACATATGCCTCCATTAATAACACACAGGATTTACAACATCATCAATTACCGAACTTGGGTATCAATGGAACTATTCTTATCTCCCTTCCACTGGGACAGCGACTCCTTAGGAGGTAAGAGGACATATTCTCCCCAAACACGCAGGCTATATATTCTCTGCAGCATTGTATTTCCTTTATCCAGAAGCGTCTCACTGGGTGGGACAGAGCCAGCACATTAGCTTCCTGGAAGGTGGTTTGCTGTTCCGTACCCGGAAGGAAAGGGGCAGGGAGGTTGATGCAATGCTGGATTGGTTCCACTGGTGCTTTTGCCTGGTTCTAACTTCCCCACTGCCTCACCCTTCACCTTCTCCCTCCCGGAAAGCAACACTAACCCACCTGGAGATCCACTTTCAGCTCTATCTCCTCTGCAAATAGAATGCAGTTCACCCATTTCCCCACTTGCCCTTCTTATTACTGCCTCCCCTCCAAAAGCATTCTCACCTTTGCCTTTGAATTGGATTACTGAATCACACTCGGGTGTGTGTGTGTGTGTGTGTGTGTGTGTGTGTGTGTGTCTTCCCTTGGACTTAACCCAGAAGCTGCAGCTAGGCTGTTTACATCATATAACATCCAAGGGAGCTGCAATGGTTGCCAATATGCTATCAGAAACAGTTCAAGGTTTTGCTTTTAGCATTTAAGGCACTAAATAGTCTGGAGCCAGGCTGCTTGAGGGGATAGCCTGCCCGTTATATATCCCTGTCCAGAAACTCTGTTTCCCAGATGGGGGACCTCATGCCCTAGAGACCAGGCTTTTAGCGTTGCAGCTCCAGCATTCTGGAATTCAATCACCAGATGAAATTAAATTAGCATCCAGTGTTTTGACATTTAGGCAGCTATTGAAGCTTTCCCTGAATCATTTTATAGAACGTTAATCTTACAATTGTAGAAAAGGTTATATTGCTTTTTATAATAATAATAAAGTTTATGGAGTTTCTCATCTGTTACTTTTTTATTTTATTGCACAGTGCTTCAGTAACTTTTGGTTGTGAAGCAGTTTATAAATCAGCAATTCTCTGCAAAACGTGCTCAATGTTTGCCCACTTAAACCATTCCACAAAGCTAAAAGAGACACATGCCCCTCAAACTAATGTCAGTCAATATCTGCTTTACCTGAAGTCTTCTGATGAACATTCTCTTGCTAATTCCGGAAAGTGACTAAAAAGAAAGGAAGGAATATGCAAAATTGGTGGGAAAGTCTGATCTGATCATAAGAAAAAGATGGATCATA